AAATCATACACTCTTGACTTAAGTCCATCATAGATCATTCCCATCTCCCCCTCCATTCTTTACTGATGCTCTGTCCCTCTGAGTTCCTACAACACTTATTGCTGGATTTCCACATTTGTAATCTTATGTTATTTGGTTTGAACAGATAAGCTCCTTAGCAAAAGAATCCTCCTAATAAGGCTGGGTGCGGTGGCTCACACCTGTAATCCCAGCACTTTGGGAGGCAAGGTGGCGGATCATGAGGTCAAGATCAAGACCATCCTGGCCAACGTGGTGAAACCCCATCTCTACTAAAAATACAAAAATTAGCTGGGCGTGGTAGCGTGCGCCTGTAGTCCCAGCTACTTGGGAGGCTGAGGCAGGAGAATCACTTGAACCTGGGAGGTGGAGGTTGCAGTGAACCGAAATCACGCCACTGCACTCCAGCCTGGGGACAGAGCGAGGTTCCATCTCAAAAAAAAAAAAAAAAAAAAAAAAGAATCCCCCTAATACTTCAGAATCCACACAGCCTAGCATAACACAGAGCACAGAGTCAGTGCTTAAGAAGTTTTTGCTGCTGGGTGATAAATAGGATAGAATCAAATAACCTTCTGGCTTTATTAGCTAGATCTCCACTATTTCTGGTACATATCAGTTCAATGACTTTCAAGAAGCTAAAATTTTAACTTAGTCATGCTGAAAATATATACGGCCGCCAAGGAAATGAAATCCCATAAAACTTGCGCTCTGGTATCTTATCACAAAAAAGGCTAAAAGCAAGAAATCATCATTGTTACACAACACATTTTTAGATTGTGGACCCCATTTCTACCTTAAAAAATGTAAGCAATTTTATTTACAGCAGTTTTATCACAGTGCCAAATGATCCCAGAACCACGGTTTTAAAGCTTTCTTTTAATATTTCTTCTTCTTTTTAAACAAACAAAAGGCTAGGTGGAATTCTACCATATAGAAAAAAGCAGAGCTGATCTTGCTAATGTGGAGGGAGGCGCTTGTAGTTCTGCCTGCCCTGTCCCCAGTCCCCAATTGCAGTGACCCCTTAAGGCATCTCTGAGCACCATCAGCAATGAGAAGCACTCAGAATAATCAGCAAACTGCCATGAATAGAAAAATACTTCATTACTTTTTTTAAAATTTCAGTATCATTATAATATAAAATTAAAACTTACCCGTTTCTACTGAAAACCCTTAGCCATGCTTTGAGGTTTGGTCCTAACAAACACAAGCAAGGCACAGTAGTAAAAGTAGACAAAATAACTGCAAATAAAAATGTTTCCAATGCCAACCTGGAAAAAAAAAAGATGAATTTTTAAAAAAGTGTTAAAGGTACACATACATAATCATTATTATATAAATAAAATATAAAATATCTTCCTCTGCTTTACTTTGAAAGGTAACATAAGTGCCACCAAAATGATGACTATAAATAATTTTACTACCAACATGCAGCTTTAAAAAAACAATCTAGCAAATATTTCACTTTAATGATAGATTTCAGAAGTGTTAAAGACCCTAGGATCCATGCTGAGACTTCCATTGCAAAAACAAACAAAAAACAGAATCCATTTCTAGATAGTTAACTTTCTCCTCAATAGTCTCTGGAACTTTCTCTACAACTAATGGTTCAATGTTAACATCTATTGGAACCACCTGGAGAGCTGGATAAACTAAAGATTGGCAGGGGCTCTACCCCTAGAGTTCCTGACTGAAGCTTGAGTATCTGTATTTTGATAAAATGCTGATGCTGCTGGTTTGAAAACCACATGTTGAGAACCACTGTGCCAGACACATTCATTCTACTTTAAAATGGATTAGACAGGAATCACCATTTCCCATTACAAAGGTCTTGTTCTCTCCCATCTAGAAAAGAATAACCTGTCGGTTTAGTGTGTGTACGTAAAACTATGTGTAAATATATATATACACATAAAAAACGGTATACTTAGCAACACATATATATGTGTGTGTATATGTATATGTATCTCATCACTCATTTCACCATGATCATTAATCACTGCTAAACTGAAGCTTCTCAAACTATGATAAACATTTTGTAAGAAACATTCATGAATTTAGTTTTTAAGAATTTGAAATTTGTCAGTTCAGAAAAAGTGTTAAAGTTTATCTTTAAACTATAAACACCACCACCAGTATATTTTGTATACACTTAATATACAAAAATATTAAGTATTTGAATACAGGAATCTATTGACTTTTGTTAAGAAAAACTCCATTCAAGTACTTTAGAATCACATTTATAAGAACTGATATGCTAATTGTAACTAACTTACACATATAATCATAGTAAGTTCTCTCAGAGGTTCTAAGGGCCAGATATTTATTGGTATAGTATAGTTTCTCTACTCTCCCTTCTCCCAACATGTAATTGGATAATAGAAGGCTAGGTAACAAGAGTATTTAATAAATTAAGTTATTCTGCTGTTTTTTAAAAAAGAATAACACTGCTAATGATGTTGGTGCCCTTACTTGATCTATTAATGATGCACATCATGGTTTTTCTAGTTACTAAGAATGAGCACGGTTTGGTAAATGAATGTTTTAAAATATGAATTTAGGGTAAAAGTTTCAAACTTACTCTATTAGTGGTGCTCCATATAGAACAAAAATTACATGAAAGGAGAAACAAGACATAAGAAAGTAGATACAGCATTTCAAAAATCTGGTTACCTAAAAGAGAAATGAATAACCTGAAGACTCAAGATAATGCCTAAAGGACAATAAATTCTTCCATTTTATCTACAAACACAACTTGTTCCCATAATATGTAAAACAGTTCAAATGTTCTTGGGTATACTCAAATCAGATCACATGTCCTGTACCCAGTCACATACACAGCCCTCGATACAGACTAAAAAAGCCTAAAAGGCAAATATCAAACCCCACCCATATTCCACCCATCCGACCTACATGAGTGTAAAAGAGGTTCTGCTTCCATGATAACATACAGAGCTATGTCATTAATCAGTATTTATTAAATATTGATTGATATCAGAGCTAGTATACAAAAAATACAGTATTATGTGATGATAGAGGAAATATCTGCAGAAAATAACAATTTTTTTCATTTTAAAACAAAATTCCTGGGAAAATTGCACTAAAAAACCAAAATACTAAATAATTCTTGAAATCACACTCATATTACACGACCCATATGAAAAAAGACCTGAACATCTACAAAGAAACATGAGACCTTCTTGATTTGGAGCTTAAGAATATATAAACATAACACATACATTCAGCTTTTCCAATCATAGGCAGTAAATGACCTAACAGACCTTACAACACAGTAGAAAATAATGTTAAGTATGGACATTATTAGTAATAGCCAAGTGAATATCTACTGCAGTGAATATTCTGGAAAATATTCTAACATCTGAAAATTATTTAGTCAAGGAAGGCCATGTTGGAAACAAGCATTACCACAGGCTTATATTGCAGTTTCTGAAAAACCCATTAAGTGGCTTTCAAAAATGCAAAAATAAATAAAAATAAACTACAATGTCTTACTGAATAAGGTTTAAAGACAGACTGTCACATGTATTTATTTTCAATGGTGACATAAAACAATGACTATACAGGCTCACAATATTATCATAAGCTCTGAAGAAGTCATAATTCCACAATTAATGCAAGGCAGGGATTAATCAAACATTATGGGCAGCCTTCCAGCAAGTAACAGGCTACCAATTTGGTGGGAAAAAATCAGGTTCCCTTTACTCACTGTAAATAACCTAATGAAGACTTGACGAATACTTTATTCTTCCATTAAAAGAAGCACTAGGTCCATCCAAAAACCAGTTATTGAGACATAAGCCTTACCTTGTGTGATAATGAACTTCTTTTAGAGGATGTATTTGGTTTCACCGCTAAATATAGTACTAGATTGACAGCAGTTACAAAACCAGAACAGATGCACAACCATGTCAAGTGTGTTTCCAATATTGAGAAGTTCTCCAAAAAGAGTGATGGAATGAAGACACTTAGGATAATCGAAAATATGCATAAAAGATGGGTATACAGTAGTCTTTTGATATCGGTGTCTTTCATGGTGTTTTCTCGGGTGGCTAGCTAACGAAAAACAAGAAAGGAAGAGCATACGCAATAATGACTTTTTCCATTGTCTTAAATGTTTCAACCCTTAAAAATAAGTCATAAAGTCAATTTGCTATGAGCAATGTATTTGTTTCAAAACACAGAAGATGCAGATGTGTAGATGCACATATAGACTTTTTATTCTACCTTTGATTTTCTTAATATGGTACAAACATCTCTCAGTCTTAAAAAAACAAATTTACTAATTTCTTAAATATTGTGACTGGTTTCTGCAAAAGGGTCATGTCCTAGGACCAATAAAACAATTCATTTAAACTTTTTTGGCCAATATCACAGAGATGAAATCAACTGTGTGGATTAAATTATCTACTGCCTGTTGGAATTATAACCAAAGTTTATTTATGAGGTTTCCAGAATGCATAAGTTATAATTCCAACAACCCCAAATATATACTTAGGCTAAATTGCTGGGGTTTTTTTACTCTTGTCTAACATTACAGTAGTTCACATCTTCTAGCAAATGCCAAATGACACCAAGTGCACACTCGAATACTCAAATGGTGGCCAGTGGAATCAAGAGTTCAAAGAGCACCACACTAAACTAAGGGATCTCGATGCTTCAGAAACACCAAGATGACAACGTCTGTTACAGGTGTTAAATTCCAACCAAAAGTAGAGCACGAATGGAAGGAGGGAAAACAAATTACTCATCTCTACAATACACGTATTTAAATTACCTGAGAGTTAATTGTACTGTTAAACAAGGACTTTATTAATTTAAAGTAACAGTCAATATGTTACACTATGGAGAATATTCCAGAAAATAGAAATATCTCAGAAAAAAAATACTATACATACACACACACACACACACACACACACACACACACATACACGTGGGCGCGCGCGCGCGGAGGGGCGCCCGCTAGTGCGAAAAGCAGAAGGGCGAACCTGGGCCTTATCCTAATAGCTCTCATTTAATTCACCCAGTGCTTTTCAAAGGCAGACATTTTACTGATAAGGAAACAAGGCAAACAGGTGAGGTGGTCCAAGGTCCCACGCGCTACAGCTCTCTCTCTGGCATAAGGAAATACACTAGGCATGAAGAAGCAAACGGATGGCAAGAAGGGACAAAGGTAAACTTTCCCATAGATTCTCTTAAGCTGATTGAGGGAGGGCAAGGGGATCAGGAATCCATTCTCTCAACAGATAGCCCTTCAGCCATTTTTCTGAGCCACCCTCGGAATCGCAGCTGCCATCAGATGTGGATGTAATACAGTGAGCAGTTACCAAACTCAACCGTTTGCTGAGTGAATGAAGGAACCAAAGTAGGCAAAGTGGGAAACCAACTCTCCTGGGAAACCAGCACCGTGTTAGGCCCTGGCGTGCCCCCAGGGCGCCTGCAGGGGTGCCACGGGCATGACGCGGCCCACCTCCCCAGGCACCGCAGCGGAGAGAAGGCTCTTCAGAGCGGCCCCCAGAGGAGCCTTCACGGGCATCGCCGCACCTCCACCGGCAGCTCCACCCCAACCCTGGTCGCTGGGAATTCTGCCCGACCCTAGGCCGGCGCGAGCGTGGGCAGCGAGGAACCAGCTGAGAAGCAGGATCAAAGAGCTCGGGAGTTGGAGACAAAGAAAAACTGGGGGACAGAGGCAAAAACTCGGATCCGAAAGGGGGTCTGTCTGTCCATCAGGGCACGCCGGAAGAGTGGCGCTCGAGCTGACGGCGAGAGCGGGCGGGCCGGGGCGCCGAGGCTCAGGGCTGCTTCGGCAATTCGCGGGGGTGGCTTGCACCCCGGGAGGCGAGAGCGCCTGGGAAGTCCAGCGGGGCTTACCTAACTTTCCCGCCCGCGGAAGGGAAGCGGGGAACTACTGCCTCCCACCATCAGGTACGACAGGAGGCCCAGGCCCACGCGCAGACGCAGGGTTGTGGGGCGGACACCCACGGCCGAACAGCCAGTCGCAGAAAGGGAGGGGCGGGCAAATGAGGCAGCCCCACCTAGCCGCTCGCGTTCATTCCTCCCGCGGCTTTCCAGGTTTGGGGTAGGCGGGAGCGGTGGGCTTAGAAGCCGGAAGTGGATTGACGTAGCCCGGAAGGGGAATACTTCCCAGTTACAGTGTTGATGTTTTCAGGCTCCTGCTGCTCCTGTTGCGGCTAGGGGAACTGTCGTGGGGAAGGATGGTGTGCGAAAAATGTGAGTTAAGGGGCTGCTTCTGCGGGAGGAGGAGGCTGGGATAATCTAACTGAGCCCTCCCGGGAACTTTGCCTTCTCTTTGTTTTTTTCGCCCACAGGTCTCTGATTCTAGCCGCTGTCTTTCTACCCTACCCTTTGACCATTTTTGCACCTCCCCAACGACCATACAGTCCTATGTATTTTGTACTCAGAATGGTCTCAGTTCTGCACCTCCCTCTCTATTTCCATTGCCTTCCCCCAGCCCCAGATCTCATCGGCTCCCCTCCCATATAAAAATGTTCAGTTAAACCCCAGCGACACCTTTCCCTCTTGGCAATTCCTGTCCTTTCCTTTTTATTCGTGTAACAAGTATTGTACTCCTGCCAAATGTTAGACACTGGAACCAAAGACTTAGGACTTTGCCTTATTCATTCTCATTAGTCATTATGCCAGGATATGGCGTAGAGTAAACCCAGAGATGTTTGAATTGAACATCAACGTAAGTGCAAATTATTATTTCCCTAATTTAAATCCTTTAATAAACTCTCAGTGTGCAGAGAATAATTTGGGGATTCTATATTTGGAACCTGACGTTCAGTACCCTCCACACTAAGGCGCCAACTTATTTTTCCAGCTTCATTTTCACTGACCCTCATCCTCTTCACACTTTGACCAAACAAAATACTCTTTGTGCCCATGTGTACTCTAAGCTTTCTATGCCTTTCCTCAGAATGTGTCCTTTATCTAGTTTGCGTTCATCCTCTTTACTCCTTTTTGTTCACAGTCCTGTTGCCACATATTCAAATCCTCTCTCTTGCCTTCTCTCCAAACTTTGTTTTCTTGGATTTCCTTAGCCAGGGTTATTTTTTCCTGCCTGGAATTTCTCCTAGTACTTTAGTTCTCAATTATTATATCTTTTATTTTTTAGCTTACATTTTGGTTGAATGGTTCTTTTTGGGGGGACGGTCTGTGATCCCTCTGAGAATCTGATGAAAACTGTAGCCTCTTGCCAGGAAAAAAAACTGAAAATATAAAAGGTTTGTGTACAACTCCACCTTGTTCACATATCTCTTAAGATCCACCTGGGGAACCCAGGTTACAGATTGCTGTTAAAGAAATTAGTATACTATAATCTCATTAAAATTTTGTCTGATTCATCACTTTTTCTCAGCACTTTGTATAGTTTATACATCATAGATGCTTAGTAAATATTTATGGAACAAATAGACTTATTGGATTTTTTAAAAGTATAAACAAACAGTGAAAGCTTATTATAAGCCATCTTATTATCCTGCGAATTTTACCGACGGTCAGTCATTCATTGCCCACAGTTAATATGAGTCTCAGTTGACTGGCTGCTTTCTCAGCATTAACAGGCTCCTATGGTAATAGCATTGATAGTCGATACCATTGTGAGCCTTAGGCACAATGTAATGCACTTATGAAATAGTAAATTTTAATTTTCCTTTTACTATCTTGTTCTAACAGGTGAAAAGAAACTTGGTACTGTTATCACTCCAGATACATGGAAAGATGGTGCTAGGAATACCACAGGTATTTCTTCTTTTAGAAAATAGGAATTTAACCAAATACTTACTGTGAATTATATTTTAGCTTTTACATTATTTGTACAATGAAATGTTGTATGTTCAAAGTATTTTATCTATTAAATATTAAAGAATACTGGGTCCCCAAGTGATTTAATATCTTTTATTTAGTTCTCAGTTACTTGTATGGGTTCCCAATATCAGGAGATAGCAAAATTATTAAATGATTGTCAAGTGGTGACAATATCACAGTATTTGATTATCACAGTATTTGATTTGATTCAGCTTATTTAGAGTCTGTTTTTAATTTCCCCACTCTTCTGAGGAGAAATTTTTTTAAATCTTCTGATTTTTATATTCTTGAATAAATAAATGCTTTAACCCATTTTACCTTCATTATCATTAAATCTTTATAATGAAGTATTTACCTTCATTATTATTAAATACATATAGTAAAGTATGTTTTCAAAGCGTAGACAAATAAACATTTTCATTATATTGAAGGTCTATGACACTGAAGTGTAGTGGCTTCTAGATTTTACACTATATAGAGTAAATATAGACCCATTCCTAAAGTACTCCCTTGAGTCTGAGAAATAAAATGATTGTATTTTATACAAATTTTTACTGTTTCCCTAATAAATGTTTTCTTTTTAAGCAGTGTCTTAATAGCCTACTAAATGAGGATTTAAAAATTAGATACAGACTACTATTTTGGTAGAAAGTCAAAGAATGAACTTCTTAATGTTTTATGTTAAATGTATAGAAATAACCCACTAAAATATCTTTTATTCTGATACAGAAAGTGGTGGGAGAAAGCTGAATGAAAATAAAGCTTTGACTTCAAAAAAAGCAAGGTAGGTAAGAGCATCCATAGACAGATCATATAAATTTCCTTTCTTTTAGTATTAAGTCTGCTGGAGTGAATTTGATGTGCATCATTCCATTTGCAATAAAACATAAAGGTAGGTGGTTCATAGCACTCAGAACCAAGCTATCTGTTACAATCCTGCTGGTTTTACCTTATTCCTCCTTGGCTGTATCAATATATGAAGATATTAGTGTTATTCTCTTACAGTTTCACCAGAAAACATGACTTGTATTTTATCTCCTTCTTAATTATCCTATGAATCAGAGACAGCAGGGAAATGTGGAAAGATGGTAAGCTTTGGAGTCAAACCTGAATTTTAGTCTAGACCCACTGTCTAGCCTTATGACCTTAAGCAAGTTAAGCAAGTTTCTTGACCTTTCTAAACTTTACTTTTTCCTGAGAATTGGGGTAAAAATGTCTCCCATCTTAAAAACAAGTTTTTGATACCATACTTTATTAGATCCAGTCTTAAAAATTCTGCTGGGTATGGTGACTCACACGTGTAATCTCAGCACTTTGGGAAGCCAAAGCAGAAAGATTACCTGAGCCCAGGCGTTTGAGACCAGCCTGGGCAACATGGTGAAACCCTGTCCTTACAAAAAATGGAGAAATCAGGTGGGTGTGGCAGTACGCGCCTGTAGTCCCAGCTACTCAGGAGGCTGACATGGGAGGATCACTTGAGCCCAGGGAGGTCGAGGCTGCACTGAGCCAGGATCGCACTACTGATCTCCAGCCTGGATGACAGAGCAAGACTCTTTCAGAAAAAAATTCCGTGAACCCTTTCATCTGCCATCCGATTTCTTTGCTCCCCTTCACATCAGAGGTTTTCCAAAGTCTTATCTAGACACTTTCTCAGTGTCCTTAAGTTCCTTTCCCTCTTTTAGCCCCTCCAGTCGTATGTTATCCCCACAAACGCCCTGAAACTGTTCTTGTTGAGATCACAAGCGACCTTTAAAACTGATTCTGTTCTTATTTAGCCTCTTCATAATTCTCTCGTGTTTTTCTCTTGGCTCCTGGGACACCACACTCTCCTGGTTTTCCTCCCAACTCACTGGCTATTCCTTCTCAATTGAGTACTTCAGGACTCAGTCCTAGGCTTTAAAAATTATTATAAATGCATAAACTCTCCTAAAGTGACTTTAATCTACTGGCTTTAAATTCAAGCTATATGTTTATACACACACACACACACACACACACACACAATATTATTATATATATATAATAGCTCCCAAATTTATACCTCTGGCCTGAGTTCTCTGAGCTCCAAACATGTATCTAGCAGCTTATCTGACATACCTCATTTATTGTCTTAACAGGCCACTTCTTTTTCCTTCCATCTTCTCATCATAGTAGCACCACTGTCTAATCCAGTTGTTCAAGCCTAAAAGCTACAATTCTTCACTGAGTCCTCCCTTTCCCCTGCTTCCCCATCCATCAACAAGTTCTTTAGATCTACCTCCAAAATGTAAAATATAACCTGAAACCACCTGCTTCTGTCCATCTTGCTGCTATTATCCTGTTCCAAACCACTGTTATTTCTTACTTGGAACTGTAATAACTATTGAACTATCTTCCTGCTTCTCTAGTTTCCCTCAGTTGTCTCATAGTAACAAGAGCGATCCTTTACAAAGTTCCTTTGCTTAAAACCCGCCACTGGTTTTCTTCTTCACATAGCATAAAATCTAAGCCCCCTACCATATTCTTACAAGGTCCTCCTTGATAGGACCCCTCGCACCTCTCTGGCTTTGTATTGTACTACACTGCTCCTCACTCATACGCCATCCTCATTAGTTCCGCCAAGCCCACTCCCATCCAAAGAGATTTCTACTTGCTGCTGTCCCCTAGGAGTCTTCTGTTAGAGCTTATGTGTCTGGCTCCTTCTTGTTGTTTGGGTCTCAGCTGATGGGTCACTTCCTCAGAGAAGGTTCCCTAATCAGAATGTAAACTAATCTCTTCTTTCCTTTCCTCATCTCTGCCTTAGTATCCTGTTAGAATTTTCTCTATAATGCTACTATTTGACAAGCTTGCTTGTTTTATTAGATTCTCTGTTTCCTTACTTACTGTTTACCTCTTCTCACTAGAATATCATCTGATGAGGGCAAGGGCTTTGCCTATCATGTTCATCTTTGGTATTTAGAACAGTACTTGGTACTTGATAAACACTCAGTATATATTTGCTGAATGAATAAATACCTGTTTTATGATGTCATCCTGAGGATTAGAAATAGCAACAATAAAGCCTTAACGACATACAGTGCGTGGCACATAATGGGATCTTTAATGCAGAGTCACACTGTATGTTGTTGACTGACTTATTGATGTCTTTGAGGACCATTCAGATTTTATTGACTGAGCTATTATTTGTACAGATTTTATAGTTTTATATACTTCCAGTTCCTTTATGCTCTCAAACTTACTCTGATGTCATTAAAAAGTAGCTGTTACTCTTGGGTACTGTCTCACTTTGGAAAATGTACTACAGTATTGCTTTGAATCTATGGTACTGTTATTTATAAGATGCATTGTTACTTTAAGAAAAAACTCTGCCAGTTTTAAGATTTCCAAGGTTAAAATGTGTGTTTTTAAATAATAAAATATGGTTTTAAGAAAAAATAGCCTCTAGAAATACGTGTCCAAGCAAATTGAACTTATTGAAAGGAAGAAGAGTACCTGTCTTCGTTTGTGGGGAATAAAGTGATATTCTCAGCCGGGCGCGATGGCTCACACCCTGTAATCCCAGCACTTTGGGAGGCCAACGCAGGCGGATCACCTGAGGTCGGGAGTTTGAGACCAGCCTGACCAACATGGAGAAACCCCGTCTCTACTAAAAATACAAAATTAGCTGGGCGTGTTGGTGCATGCCTGTAATCCCAGCTACTTGGGAGGCCGAGACAGGAGAATCGCTTGCACCTGGGAGGCAGAGGTTGCGGTGAGCCAAGATCACGCCATTGCCCTGTAGCCTGGGCGATAGAGTGAGATTCCATCTCAAAAAAAAAAAAAAAAAAAGTGATATTCTCTGTGGTTTGGAAAAATCTTTGTAAATGGGCTGTTATGCTATACCCAAGAGGAGACACTAGGTCTAGGACAGTGTTTCGTATCTGGTATATGAGGATCATTACAAAAACTCATTTTGTAGTTAGGGAAGCACAGTTAAAGCAGAGTATTATTGCCATTTTAGGGGGAAGTATTTCTTTTTTTCACTCCAGTTACTGTAAGATGGCATTTTTATATAGTAGAAGCCCTTTTATCTAAAAGGATTGAGTCAGTTAATTAAAAATGTCAGCTAATGTAAGCAGTCATTAAAAGATACACATACCTTATTTTAACTTAAAGCACATAACTGTAGATGTATTAATCATATGGTATTGAAACAAAGCCTTTTGAGCATAAATCAACTGATAAGTGCTCTACATGATTGTCGTCACAAAAATCACAATCAGAATATGTTCAGTATCTTTAAAGTGGAGCAAAAATTGATGCTTGAGGTATGGAGTCCTTTCCTAGTGATTTTCCCCCAGTTGTCAACAGTTGTCTTACCCATACCTAATTCAATAGCAATTCCGATTATTCCTGGTCGTCCTAAAGTAGTCACTTAGGTTTTATGGAATCAGTCACTCTTTTTGCACTGACATTTCATCAGTTTCCATAATATTTTTGTCACACAAATAGAATGACAGATACAATTGATACGAACACGTCAAGAATAAATTCTGTACAACTGACTATAAGTATATATCTCACATGGACAGAGCAGAGCAGAGATGTACAGGCATATCAGACAGTAGCCATCTGGAATAGGCTAAACCCATCAATTGTAGAGGTTGATGGAGGGATGAAGAGCATGGATTAATCCTGTGTGTTGCGTAAGTGGGGTTATTTAAGAGTGTGTTTCTAGTGTAATATACAATTTTCTCTCATTAAAAAAAATTTCTAGATTTGATCCATATGGAAAGAATAAGTTCTCCACTTGCAGAATTTGTAAAAGTTCTGTGCACCAACCAGGTTCTCATTACTGCCAGGGCTGTGCCTACAAAAAAGGTAAGTTTCTTTTAATACCTTTTTTCTATTCATAAAACCTACTTCATTTGCTGCTAATTTGGTTAACAGAAACGATGTAGCCTGTCATAAATTCTGTTAACCAAACACTCTTTATCCTAAGGCAAAATGGGACCTAAAACCTGTTTATAATTAAAAGTATATATATATATTTTTTTTTCTTTTCTTTTCTGATGCTGTTAAATTATATTTTAAGCTTCAGGATTGACTTAAACCAAACAGTTGGTATTATGATTTGATTGATCACGTATCTTCTTTTGTTTCAGGCATCTGTGCGATGTGTGGAAAAAAGGTTTTGGATACCAAAAACTACAAGCAAACATCTGTCTAGATGTATTGATGGAATTTCTGACTTTCTAAATGATTTTACTTTCTGCCTTGAATTTTCAAGGCATAGATGTCAACTTACAGAATAACGTGTTTTAAGACAATTACGTTTAAACCAGAGAATTTGATTGTTATTCATTTTGCTCTCATGCTCTAAACAGCAACAGTGTAACTAGTCTTTTGCCGTAAATGGTTTTTTCCTTATGAGCATTTTATTGAACTAAGTGGCAAATTCCATGAAAAATTTCTCAGTTCTGTATGCACTTTTAACATTATTCATGTAATTCTCCCCCCCACACACTTTATTTATAGATACTGCAAAAGTGAGAAGGAGGTAATAGATATTTTGCTCTGAATTTGGCATCCAGAGTTAACAGTTCTCCCCTAACTCCCTTACTCGTGTCATAGTTATTAGGATCAGCAGCCTCTTAACTAATTGCAGTTTCATAGGATGTATAAATGTTTCAAGCCATTATTGCTGAATGGTTCTTTAGTTATTAACCTAGACCCAAATCAAAGACCAGTTTTTATTTGTTCTTGCCGCCAAAGTGCCAGTTCCTTTAATATGTGACCAGGAACACAAGGAATATCCATATGTCCAAATAAACACACTGAATTTTAGAAAAACTTATTACTTTGAATTCAAATTGTCATGAAAACCAGAACAGTGTTTGTCCATGTTGCATGTAATGAACATAAATCCCTGCTCTTTGAGAAAAGCTCTTTGAAGCAAAAACCAAACTTTTTGTTTTTTTACCTCCTGTCTCGCTCCCTAAAAGAAATAAATAAAGCAAACATCTTGACTCTCCCTTTTTAAAATTTGTTTGTTTGATACAGGATCTCACTCTGTTGACCAGGCTGGAGTGCAGAGGTATCATCAAGCTCTCTGCAGCCTCCATCTGCTGGGCTCAAGCAATCCTTCCACCTTACCCTCCTAAGTAGCTGGGGGCTACAGGTGTGTGCCAGTGTGCTCAGCTAGTTTTTATTTTTAGTAGAGACGAGGACTCGCTATGTTGCCCAAGCTGTTCTCGAACTCCTGATCTCAAGCAATCCTCTGGCCTCAGCCTTCCAAAGTGCTGGGTTACAGGTGTGAGTCACAGCACTTGGCCTCTCTCTCTCTCTCTTTTTTTTTTTTTTTATACTACAGGTTTCAAATGAGGACTTGTCTTCTGTTGCCTTCAGAGGTTCAGGACTTCTGCTTTTAAAATCTGCAGGCTACCATGGGAGACCAAAAAAGCATTCCCCATTTCCAACTGCAGTATGTATAAATACGTATCACTATAAAATGTGTAGAATAGATAGTGTGATAAGATTTATGAATGGCATTTTTATTGGTCATAAAATTTTGATGAAAAGCATTTAAAGTTTTAACTTTATAAGGCTTTTCAAAATGTGTTTTTTTGAGATACCTTGTTATTCATATCCACAAAGATTATAAGGATAATGCAAAATAAATAATTCATCTGAGAGCAGGAAGTATCCTCTCATGCTTAATCAGTTTGATTAATTGATTATAATTTTAATTTTAATTAAAATTATAACACAGGGAACTCATAACAGGACCTGGTCAGAGAGTGTCCCAAAGCCATTAAAGATTGGATTTGTTGACTTGGAGAAAAGTACGTTTCTCAGGGATCGACTGGAATCTGGACTTGCCTAACTCACATTTCATTTATTTTTTAAATAATTTCCGTTTTTATTTTAGATGTAGGGAGTACATGTGCAGGTTAGTTATATGGGTATATTTTGTGATGCTGAGGTTTGGCGTACAAATGATCCCGTCACCCAGGTAGTGAGCATAGTGTCCAACAGTTGGTTTTTCACCCCTTCCCTCCCCTCTTCCCTCCGGTAGTCCCCAGTGTCTGTTCTCATCTTTATGTCCATGTGTACACATTGCTTAGTTCCCACTGATAAATGAGAACATGTGGTCTTTGGTTTTCTATTCCTGTGTTTATTCACTTATAATAATGACTTCCAGCTGCATCCATGCAAAAGACATGATTTTCATTCTTTTTTATGGCTGCATAGTATTCTATGGTATATATGTACCAGACTTTCTCTATCCAGTCCACTATTGATGGGCATCTAGGTTGATTCTGGGTCTTTGCTGTTGTGAATAGTGCTGTGATGAAAATGTAAGTGTATGTCTTTTTGGTAGAACATTTTCATTTGGATGTATACCCAGTCATGGGATTGCTGGTTCGAATGGTAGTTCTGACTTCTTTGAGAAATCTCCAAACTGCTTTCACAGTGACTGAACTAATTTGCATTTCCATCAGTGTAGGCACATTCTACATTGCACTGGCTTCTACAGTGTAGAAGCATTCCCCTTTTCCCACAGCCTCACCAGCATCTGTTATTTTTTTGACTTTTTGATAATAGCCATTCTGACTGGTGTGAGATGGTAAGTCATTGTGGTTTTGATTTACATTTATCTAATTAATAATGTTGAGCATTTTTTCATGTTTGTTAACTACTTGTATGTCGTCTTTTGAAAAGTGTCTGTTCATGTCTTTTGGCATTTTTTAATGGTTTTTTGTTTGTGTGTGTGTATTTTTGTTTTTGTTTTTGTTTTGAGATGGAGTTTCGCTGTTGTCACCCAGGCTAGAGTGCAATGGCACCATCTCATCTCACTGCAGCCTCCGCTTTCCAGGTTCAAGCGATTCTCCTGCCCCAGCCTCCTGAGTAGCTGGGATTACAGGTGCCTGCCACTATGTGCAGCTAATTTTTGTACTTTTAGTAGAGACAAGGTTTCACCATGTTGGCCAGACTGGTCTGGAATTCCTGACCTTAGGTGATCCACCCATCTCAGCCTCCCAAAGTGCTAGGATTACAGGAGTGAGCCACCACACCTGGCCACAAGTTACTTCGTTTTTGTTTTCTGAATTGTTTTAGTTCCTTACAGATTGTGAACATTAGACCTTTTTCAGATGCATAGTTTGTGAATATTTTCTCGCATTCTGTAGATTGTCTGTTTACTGTATTGATAGTTCCTTTTGTGGTGCAGAAGCTCTTTAGTTTAATTAGGTTCCACTTGTCAATTTTTGTTTTTGTTGCAATTGCTTTTGAGGACTTAGCCATAGGTCTTTCCCATAGCTGATGTCCAGATGTTATTTCGTAGGTTTTCTTCTAGGACTCTTACAGCTTGAAGTCTTACATTTAAATCTTTTATTTTTATTTTATTTTTTTAGACAGAGTCTCCCTCTGTTGCCCAGGCTGGAGTACAGTAGTGCAATCGTGGCTCACCACAACCTCCATCTCCTGGGCTCAAGCGATTCTCATGTCTCAGCCTCCTGACCTAGCTGGGATTACAGGCGCATGCCACTATGCCTGGCTAATTTTTCTATTTTGGGGACGGGATTTCACCATGTTGGCCAGGCTGGTCTTGAGCTCCTAACCTCAAGTGATCCACCCACCTCAGTCTCCCAAAGTGCTGGGATTACAGGCATGAGCCACTGCACCCGGCCCCTTACATTTAAATCTTTAATCTATCTTGAGGTAATTTTTGTATATGGTGAAAGAGGTCCAGTTTGATTCTTCTGCATATGGCTAGACAGCTATTCCAGCACCATTTGTTGAATTAGGGAATCCTTTCTCTGTTGCTTTATTTTTGTTAACTTTGTCAAAGGTCAGATGGCTGTAGGTATGTGGCTTTATTTCTGTCTATTCCATTCCATTGGTCATGGGTCTGTTTTTATACCTGTACCATGCTGTTTTGGTTACTGTAGCCTCCTTATAGTATAGTTTAACTCAGGTAATGCGATACCTCAGCTTTGTTTTATTTGCTTAGGATTGATTTTTTGGTTCCATATGAATTTTAGAATGGATTTTTTTTTTCTTTTTTTTTTTTTTTTTGAGACGGAGTATTGCTCTGTCTCCCAGGCTGACTGCAGTGGTGCAATCTCAGCTCACTGCAACTTCCCTCCCAAGTTCAAGCAATTCTCCTGCCTCGGCCTCCTGAGTAGCTGGGTTACAGGTGCCCACCAACTATGCCCGGCTAATTTATGTAATTTTAGTAGAGATAGGGTTTCATCATCTTAGGCAGGCTGGTCTTGAACTCCTGACCTTGTGATCCACCCACCTCGGCCTCCCAAAGTGCTGGGATTACAGGCATGAGCTACTGGGCCTGGCCAGATTTTTCTAATTCTGTGAAAAATGATGTTTGTAGTTTGATAGGAATAGCATTGAATCTGTAGATTGCTTTGGGCATTATGGTCATTTTAATATCGATTCTTCTAGCTCATGAGCTTGGAATGTTTTTCCATTTGTTTGTGTCATCTCTGATTTCTTTCAGTGTGTTTTGTAGTTCTTGTCCAGCTCACATTTTATCTTCATACTTTGAGTAGCCTCCTTCCATGAATGGATCATCCAGTGGCCACACTTAGGTTCTCCTATGGAGATTTTTGTTGTGTTGTACCTCAGAACCATCTCCATATTCTCTAAATAATAATAATGATGGTCATAAATTGAGTAGAAGTATTTACTAGATGAGGAGGAAAACCCTAAAACAAAACATGAACATAAAATATTTTTAAAAGGAAGGCATACAAACAGACACTATAACAAAATAAGATGACAGAATTAAGGCCTTATGCCACAGCCAAAGTTGAAAAATACAAAGCAGAAAAAAAAGGTTAAAAACATGATAGAATTAAAGCCAAACAACTTTTATCAAAATAAATATAAAAGTGATGAAACAACTTAATTGTTAATCAGATTGTAATATAAAAGATGCTAGAAACAAATGCCAATAGAACACTTAAATACATTTTACATATTCATCCATTAGAATATATAGCTGTCAGAATGATAGAAGAACTACATGTGTGTGCAGAAGTTTATGTATCCATGTGGAAAACACAGGAAGCTAATAGTACTGTTTTTCTCTGGAGTGGGTGTAAGGGTAAAGTAGAGACTTAACCCTTTACATCCTTATGGCAGCCTTCAGATACCTTTTAACTCCCAGTTCCCTTACCTGGGGGTGTGCATCCTAGAATCCTTGACCCATTAGAAAATATACTGTAGACATCATACTGTTTACCCTTTAATAGTACGTATGTACTTCATAAGAACAAGCATGCTATCTTACCCAAGTACAGCTACCAAGTTTAGAAATTTAACTTTGACATAATACTTTATGTCCATATTTCAATTTCATATGCTGTTTTATTGGTAATTTTTTTTCAGCTCGACGATCCAGCCTAGGATCATACGTTGTATTGCCATAACTCTCTAATCTGGAGCAGTTCCCCAGCTTTTCTTTGTTTTTTGTAATAGTAATACGTTTGAAAAATACAGGACAGCTAAAGGATGGCGTGTCCTTCAATTTGGGTTTTTCTGATGTTTCCTCATGGTTAGATTTGGGTTGTGCAGTGTGGGTTGAAATACTGTAAGTGATATGTATTGCAGGTATACATCCAGATGCACAGAATGTCCATTTGCCCCTTATTCGTGATACTAATTTTGATCACTTGGGTAAGATGTTGTCCAGTTTCTCCACTGTATCATTATTGTTACTGTTTTTGCTTTTGCATTAGTGGGTAATTTGTGAGGAGAAACTTTGAGACCTGGTTGACAATTCTGTTCCTCATCAAATCTACCCCTCCTAGATTTAGCATCCTTTGACGATTCTTGTCTGAATAAATTTGTACTAGGATGTTTCCAAAATTGTGATTGTTCTAACTCCATTATTATTTCTGTATTAATTAGTTGTCATTCTACTGTAAGGAAGAGGTTTCCCTTTATCATCAACTTCGAGTAAGTACTTTTTTCTGAGCCATTTGAATATTCCTTACAGATGTGATACCT